ATGTGCGTGTGTATTCAAATCAGCCTAGTGAAGTGATGGTGATGACTCGTCTACGAGGAAGTGTCCCACCACTGCCTGCCACCTACTTTGGCGTCAGTCTCTCCAGTCCTCNTCTACGAGGAAGTGTCCCACCACTGCCTGCCACCTACTTTGGCGTCAGTCTCTCCAGTCCTCACACCTGTCTGCTTGCACGAATTTTATCACCTACTGGTGATTTAATATGACTGCGTCTAAAATACTCGACCACCACAGTATGTTATTACCGTGATTGCGATTATGATTGCCACCTTTTGAGCACAACAGACCTGTCCGCACTGACTATCTAATGCGTTAGCAATGCAGGCTGTTCAGTTTTAAGCTGATGAACAAGTAAACAACACCTCCCCTCATCTTCATGTTCTATTTTTGACTCTTCTGCTTTAGCAAAAAGTCCACGCCCCAATAGTTTTTTTATACAAAAGCGCTTTTACTTTATAATTAACATGTATGCATTACTTTCTCTCGTTAACCTGATGAGATTGAGCAAAAAATAAGAAAATATGCAAATTAAAATGTGAATATTCTAAAAAAGTGCTTTTATTCTTAAATTGTAAGAACTGTGTGTTTGGTAAATTAACAAGGAGAAGTGCTGCTGCTGTTTTCTGTAGATGTACCTTTGACCACTTTCTCTTCTACAAGGCGTACTGCGTCGGCTACCCAGGGATGAATCATTAACTCAGATATTTTGATGCGTTTTTCGACGTTGGGCTCGAAAATGCGATAGAAAAAGTCGTAAAGTTGTTCGCTTGGCTCCCAGCTGAGTTTTTTGCTGAACTTGATGACGTGAGCAAGCTGCTTCTCTATCACGTCTGGTTTTGAAGTGTCAAACGGATATTTCTGGTTGATTACACACCACATAACCACACCAAATGCCTGAAAAGGTAAGTGCATTCAGTTAGCTTATTAAACTATCATCATCAATAAAATCTAATCACAAACCCAAACGTCGGCAATCATTGGATTGTAGGTCACATTGGAGTACTCTTGAAGAAGCAGAATCTCCGGCGCCATGTAACTTCTAGTACCGCAGAACTTGGTGGACATCTGGGTGCCTCCTTTTGAAGGTCTAAAGGCGACACGGCTACAAACACAAAGTACAAGAAAAACTGCTTAAAATCTCTGATAAAAACGACATTCAATGCAAACAGTACCTCAATCCAAAGTCAGCAACTAAACAATTTTGGTCTTTATCCAAGAGAATGTTGCCCATTTTCAAGTCACAGTGAGCGATTCCTTTTGAGTGCATGTGATTGACTGCAGAGATGATTTGCCCGGCGAAACGTTGACAGGTAGACTCGGGCAGTGGACTCGACTTGACCTCTCTCTGTCGCATGAACCTCGACAGTGAGAGACCTTCAGCAAGCTGCATAAAGATGAAAAAGTGTCTTGTGCCTTCAACATCGACGATGAAGTGTGCGTACAATTTGACGATGTTTGGGTGCTGTGTCCGCTGGATGATGAAGAGCTCATTCTTCGCTGAGGCCTTCCTCGCCGCGCTACTGGTCAGCATGATCTTGCAAGCCACCACCAGACCGTCACTTTTTCTCACTGCTTTGTAGACCTTTGCGAAAGAGCCCTCCCCTATGACCTCTCCCAGTTCGTAGCCATGAGCAGCAGCAATCTCCGAGAGGGTCATTTCATTGGACATTTTGTGAACTTCTGTCAACTCTGCCGTTTTCATGGCTGAAGGACTGGAGGGAAAGTGTCTTGAAATGGTCGACTTGGGAGTGTCGTCACTTCTCTTTGGCGATGGAGGAGTGGCGATTGTTTGGGTGATTGTGTGGGATTCTTTAGAAGGTGTAGCCACCAGTACTTCGTTCACTGTCGTCTTGATCGTCCCAGTAGGCGACTTTGGTTGCATTTTCTCTCTTTCGGCTTTTTTCCGTTTTTTGCAAATTCTAAAACAGTTGCACATGATTTAGCTTCGGTATAGAAAACAGCTGCTATTGACTAGTTATCTACAATGTTTGCATTTATGGTTTAGAGTCAGATATTCTAAAGTTATTCTAAAGTCGAACAACTGACAAGCTAATCTGGTTAAAAAGCATTTTGAGTCATTAGAGCATTGTTCATTTTTGCCATTCTAGAAGATATTGTCACTTCAGAGCTGTCGCTTTAAAAATCTCGAAGGAGTAGTCAACTAAGAGATGACTCACCAGGGCACAGCAACCTCCAATGACACCGAAGTGATTGTCGTGGAGAACTACCGACTGACGACGACTGTGCTCAGAAGTAAGTTCCAATTGTATTTCCCACTTGTCTGAAAACTAAACTTGTTCTCCATAGACCTCTTTAGGGAAATTCGCCTGGGCGTACACACCAGCAGCAATCGGAAGGTGGCCGCCAAGTTGGAGTTCCTGGACGCCCAACTGCTGTCGCTGCAGTACGAGAAGAAGATGTACGACCGACTGAAGGAGATAAAGGGCGTGGCTGAAATCTACTACTACGAAGAGAACTGGAACAATCAGTATCGTGCAGTTCTAATCATGCAGCAGCTTGGACACAGCCTGGACACGCTCTTTGAACTCTGTCAGAATCAGTTCTCCCTCAAGACGATACTCTACATCGCCATAGAGCTGATCACCATCTTCGAGGCGGTCCACAGACGAGGCATCGTCTATCGCGACGTGACGCCGAAGAACTTTTTAATCGGTCTGGGAGAGAGAGGTCAGAAGCACCTGTATCTGGTGGACTTTGCCTTCTCCAAGTTCTACCTCGACCCCGCCACCGGCCAGCACATCGTCGACCGAGTGGATCACACCATCAAGGTGGGCACCATTCGCTACATGTCCCTCAATGTGCACAGAGGTCATGAGCACTCGCGACGAGACGACATGGAGTCCCTAGGCTACGTCTTCATGTACTTCCTCAAACAGGGCAAACTTCCGTGGAGTAAGCTGAAGGGTCGCTCCAGCGAGAAGGAGCGTATGATCTACAATCGCAAGTGCGACACCACCATCGAACAGCTCTGTCAGAACTATCCCGAATCGTTTGCCTTCTTCTTTCGACAAGTGAAGTGTCTCAGCTTTACCGCCGAACCGGACTACCAAACTCTGCAGCAGCGATTTGTTAATTTGTTTAAGAGAGAGAACTTCCTAAACGACGGCCATTACGACTGGAAAACGCGGATTAAAGAGTCATAATTCTGATAACTTGTAAGCGACGCCGATTAGAGAAAACTTTTGAAAATAGTAGTGTTGATTTATTGTCTGCATATTAAAAAATATACATAAAAAATACGTCGGTTTAATTTGTTAAGGAATTGTTGGGAGCATTTGTAGAAGGTTCGATATTTATAGAACTGGGAGGAATGCTCTTTCCAATGTTTGTGTGTAACATATTCAAGGCCTTAGCGATAAACTCGGGCCTGTGAGTAAATTGAGGAAAGCAAAACTTGTTTTTGCCATTAGTTGCCATTAATGGCTTCAAAGTGTTTACGGCTGGGGCTGCAGAGTTTTCAGTCGTTTTGGCGTGCCCATTCGTTACTGGATTCTCCTGAGCACTTGCCCCATTAGAAGGGGGTTTATTTACAGCAGCCGGATGAGCGAAAACAACATCCTTTCGGGTGTCTAAAAATGAGCTTTTTAAAGGAGCAGTTGCAGTTGAATCACATTTTGGTGATTGAAGTAAAAAGGTCGTGTTGTTTGAAATGACAGTTGGAGTTATGATTTGGACATTTTGTTCCTTAGCAATGAGAACGTTCTTTTCAGCAGACGGAACATTTTTAACTGTCGTTTCTAGAGATCCATTTGATGCTGTTGACTGTTGTAGCGAGGCGACTGTTACCGTGTTCCCTAAAGACGTCATCAGGTTTGTTGTCGTTTTCACTTCTACCTTTTGAAGAACTTCAGTAGGTTTACTCGCAACTTGCACACCATTTGAAGAGCTATGACCACCTTGATCTGACGAATTTGTGAGGTTTGTGAGAACTGGAGGGTCAGTTGGAGGCAATTTACTAGCAGTTGCACTACTAGTCGAAGGTTTTATCATTTGCGTGTCAGGATTGATGATGTGATTACTAGTGGTTGCTGCTGGTTCAATACTGGTTGTCGTACTGGTTGCAATGTTGGTGACACTACGAGGGTTTTCAACATCACCAAAATTTGCTTCTGATTCATTTTTACAAATAAGATCAATTTGATAAGAAATTTGAGAATTCTCGCTAACATCAGTGGAAGAGTCGTCGTCTTCAGAGAATGTGATTTCATTTTGAATTTGAGCATTTGTCGTTTTTGACTGAACTAAATTCTCTTTAGCGGCAAGTTTAGGCTTCTTTGCCTCTACGGATTGCGATTCAGTACTACCATCATCGCTGATCTTTCGCTTTTCTCCAGTACCGAGTTGGCTTTTAACAAGCATATTTTCTTTTGGCACTGAAGTTGATGCGGATGCATTTTGAGCGATTTGTGGGGCATTTGTATTTGCGCCTAGAGATAGGGTTGGGACGTCATCAAATAATCTCTGGCTGGATGAGACTAATGGGCGTGTATTGTTGCAAGGTGAGTTGCTGTTGTTTAGTTGAGCATTGCAATTACTAGGCTCCAAAATGTTCTTCATAACTTTTCGCCTTTTTTGCTGTCTATGCAACCGAGCCATGGGCAATTTTGAATTCGAAACAAGACATAGATAGTCGCTCTTGTCTTTATTCGGCTCGATGATGAGGTAATATAGGGAGATAGGCATATCCTGGTGAGGAAAAAGAATGTATCAACTTTCAAAAGAATTCAACCGTACAAACTTACCGGGCTAGCGCTATAAGTATATGCTAGATCCATCAAAGTTAAGTCTTCCTTTAGCAGTTCAGTTCTGTAGAAAAAGTTCACTTGAATCTTGGCATCGAGATCGTACTTGTAGCGGATAAATTTAATCAACTGGAGGACCCGCATCCCTGCCAAACACAAAAGGTACCGCCTTTGGTTCATAGTATCAGGCAGCATTTGATTTTCATCTTTCTTGAATGGGAGCAGCTTAAATGGACTTGGTACTTCGGGGAAATACTCGATTGTGAGCTGAATATTATCGTCAGGTGATATGATCATTCTTTCTCCGTGTATTTCACCCTTCTCTTCGTTGGATAAACCGGCAACTGTAAAAGAGTCAATATGTCAGTTGGAGTACAAAAGAAATGTTGTCCAGCTTGTTTACCTTTATCGGGATGGCGTGAGTAGAAGTTTTTCCGCCAGCTCATTTCATCTGCACAAACAAACATTAATCTGGGCTCCAATGCAGAGGTTCAGATGAATCTTACTTTTATACAACTTGGGCACCAGTTTGTAGACGATGTCTTGTAGGGTTGGATCAGACCTGATGTTTTGTTTTGGCCTGGTTTTATGAATTTGACAATTACATTTTGGACAAAGCCTAGATTCAGTGGTGTCCTTGTCCAAATGTTTGATAATGCAAGACCGGCAGTCTGTGTAGGGCGATCAAATGAAGTTTTAGTCAGATGCTACAAAACAAAGCTAGATGACAACTTACAGGAATGTAAACATTCTATGATAGTAGTTGCGTCGATGAGGTACCCTTTACAGAGATGGCAGGTGATGAACTGATTGAGCTCCTTAACCAATTTGGCAGGCTCAGGTGGTGAGGAGTTGAGTGAAGAAGAGGCTTCTAGTCTATTGTTGGTGCAGCTGCTGCTAGAGCTCGTTGGTGTGATGTCATGGTTGGGTGTGGATGGCACGCTGGCTAGGCTCGGTGGGGTGGCTTGGTGGCCATTGAGAAGGGCGGCAGAGTCGCGTCTAAGCTCGGGCGCCATGATTGCCTTTAATGAAACTACTTTCACTTGAGCGTTGTGCACCGTGTGCATTATCAGTCTTCGGCGACCACTTTCGCCGGTAGTGAAGAGACGGGCACTGGACGGTGGCAGGAAAGGCTGTTGAGAGGCGTCAGTGGAACACTAGACAAGTGGGCAGCCTCCATGTCCACTACAGGCCATGACATGCATGGGACTAGCAGGGGCTGCCAGCCACGACTCCGAGCTTTCGAGTCAAAAACAATCGGCAGGGACAGTGCGAGTGCCTGCTGCTCATATCGATCCACACTCAACAGCGCAAAGGATATAGCAAAAAATAAGAGATTTTTCAAACTTAAAGCTAGAACTTGTAACTTTGCTCATAGATACAGTTTATTAGGACGATTACAACGGTATAGAAATTGTGTGGCGGCGCCCTCGGGAACTGTTTCAAAATGGCGTCCAAAGTTTCCTGAAAATGCATTGAAATGTGTTACACAGGCGAGTACAGCGCCTCTACCGGCATCTTGCGCATTTCAGTTACAGGTTATGAACGACGCAGTGCCTGCCTGCGTAACACATTTCAATGCATTTTCAGCCAACTTCAGACGCCATTTTGGAACAGTTGCGAAGGGCGCTGCCACACAATTTTTATACCGTTGTAATCGTCCTAATAAACTGTATTTATGGGCAAAGTTTCAAGTTTAAGCTTTAAGTTTGAAAAATCTCATATATTTTGCTACCTCCTTTGAACGCTTTGGGAACCCCACTTTTTGCCTATGTGCACTCTGAGAGCAGTGGCTTTATTCTTTTTCGGTGAGTGCCGTAGTGGGTATGCGCATGTCCTTTGGCAGTGCTGGCCGCCCTTTTCAAATTTCTTGGTCTCCTCTTCACCGCTGACCTGTCTGCCCTCTCGACCCTGTCTGGCCAATCACAATCAAATGTGGGACAAGTTTATTTGATGGCCTTTATCACTGCCTCGCAGTGAACGAAAAAACTTGCTGTTGATGAAGATGCCACCAGTTGCCGCGGGAAATTTCAGAGCCNTGCCGTAGTGGGTATGCGCATGTCCTTTGGCAGTGCTGGCCGCCCTTTTCAAATTTCTTGGTCTCCTCTTCACCGCTGACCTGTCTGCCCTCTCGACCCTGTCTGGCCAATCACAATCAAATGTGGGACAAGTTTATTTGATGGCCTTTATCACTGCCTCGCAGTGAACGAAAAAACTTTCTGTTGATGAAGATGCCACCAGTTGCCGCGGGAAATTTCAGAGCCCGAGGTCACTTTTGGTTATAGACTTTAATCGGTACAGAATACAGGCGTGATCGATTTCGATTTAATGTCGATGTTAGTCGTTCGAGAGCTTCACCAGATTTTTAACTTTACTATGAAGATGTGTGGATTGTCAATAAAAGCCTTTCTAGAGTTTAGGCTTTTGATAGTGCAAAATTTGATGTTTTAACTAGTTGAACTTTCTTGGGAATACTTGACAAAGATTTTTATAATGATCAAGTGTGAGATGGCAGTTAAGATAATTCTTTAACATGAATTTTTGTTTTAGTGTCTCAAGTGACAAGAAACAAATGTCGCTCAAATGTCCAAAGAATAATCTGTTCAGTACAGATCACCTCAAAGTCATTATGGTTCGAGAATATTATTTGAAAAAATCCCCTTTTGATAAGCCATCTCTTTATAATTTTGAGCTAAAAATTGCCAAAAATCTGTATAAATTGCTGCGTTCTTTGACAAACTTGCCGAAAGTGACTCAAGGTGGCCATTGAAAGTGTCACTGCCATTTTTTTGAAGAGCACATTTTGCGTTTAGACACCGAGAGATGGCTGTGTGATAGCGCTTGGAGCACACAAAATGGTGAAATAGGAGGCATTGGCAGAGTGTGGGGAAGGAAGACGACTGAGGCTGTGAGTCAGCTGGCAAAGCCAGGCCTACTCTCGCTCTCTATCTCTTTGCGTGACAGTCGCCTCTACTGCTCGTTCAGTAGTCTTTGTTGATCGGCAGAGTCAGCCAGCCCATCGCCGCAACCTCCCGACCGACCGTGCCGAGCACGCCAACAGCGGTCCAGTACTTTTGCTCCAGTGCCCTTTGTGCGGTGTGTCGCCGGTGCCACCAGTCCCCCAACCCATTCTATTTTTCCTCCGGTCATCCTTGCAAACGCAATGCAAATATTATGACCGAGTACAAGCTCGTCGTCGTCGGCGGTAAGTCTGTCCATTCAGTACTGCTGATGCTGATGCTACTGAAGCTGCCGTTGCTGCAGCCGCTACGGCTGCTGATGCTGCTGCTGCTCCGTTCGCCCTGGAACGGCGGTGGACGCGCCCGTGGTCAGCCGCCACCTCGACCATCCTCGGCACCCCCTTCTTCATGCTCTGCTAATCACACCCTCTATTCGCTCTCTCCCCTTTCATGCAGCCGGTGGCGTCGGCAAAAGTGCCTTAACTATTCAACTGATTCAAAATCAGTAAGTATATCACCAGTGCCCGGCACCTATCAATGCCCACTCATCAACTGACAATTTTGCCACTCTCCCTGCAGCTTCGTGGACGAATATGATCCAACAATAGAAGACTCATATCGGAAACAAGTGGTCATTGACGGAGAGACATGTCTCCTCGATATTTTAGATACTGCTGGTCAAGAGGAATATAGGTAGGTCACTACGGCTACTCCTGCAGCTGTCAGTGTGTGTTTGTGCTGACTGCTGAATGCCCGGTGCATCCCCCTGAATCTAACACAACATTTCCTTTACCCTCTACATTCCGATGCAGTGCTATGCGAGACCAATACATGAGAACTGGTGAAGGTTTTCTTCTAGTTTTCGCCGTCAACAATGCAAAGTCCTTTGAGGATATCTCCACGTATAGAGAGCAAGTATGTTGAAATGTGTGGCATGATGAGTGTGTGTGCGAGTGAGTGAGTATGGATGTTGCTGCCTGCTGCCCAACCCATGCATAGCATTCATTCTCGCCCATACCTCTCACTCAGCCGTCCTGTACTAATGCACCGCTTTCACCGTTTGTCCTTTTGCAGATTAAACGTGTTAAAGATGCTGACGACGTTCCAATGGTGCTGGTGGGGAACAAGTGTGACTTGCCCTGTAGAATGGTCGACATGCGGGGAGCAGGCGAGGTGGCCAAAAACTACGGAATACCTTTTGTTGAGACGTCGGCAAAGACTAGAATGGGCGTCGATGACGCCTTTTATACATTAGTGCGAGAGATTCGCAAAGATAGGGAACGAAAAGGAAAGGACAAGAAGAATAAGCGCGAGAGTAAGAAAAAGTGTGTCATTCTATAATAATACCTTGTTGAGACTTTCTTATTTATATTATACATATATATCAATTCAATATACTTCTTTTAATTACATAATTATTAATTTACGCTGTTAAACTTGACTTTTAACTGTTTTCCAATTTTCCGAAACGATATTGCCAAACTCTCTCACTCTAAAAATCATTAAAACGAACTTTGACCTTCGACGAGTACTTCGGCGGACCTCAAGACAGCAGCAAGCTCGGCGAGACCAGCAACAGCAGCAGCCAGTCTTCCTCCCGTCCGACTTGCCCACCCGTCGCATCCCACTCGCCGCCGGCGATAACCGACCACTGCTCTTTCTTTCCTTCTTTCTTATCTTCAACGTAGGCCTTTTATCACTGATATAGCATTTCTAATTTTTAATTGTTTCATTGTCGCCTGCATGCCACTGCATGTACTTCTTGCCCTCTAAACATTCTCTCTTTCTCTCGTTCTCTCTTAACTCTTGTACTCTGCTCCACTGCACCCAGCCATCATGCTCCATCACCACCACCACCACCACCTGTTCTTTTGCCGTTCTCCTGCTGTACATTGTCTCCTCTTTCTCATATCTGCGCCACCCCCTTTGTACAACTTGTGAACTTTCAACTTTGTTGTTGTTGCAATGTATTTTTTATAACGCTATGAGCGATGCGTCTTTTGCAGCCAATAATATTCTGCTTGTTCTTATTTCCTACTAGTGCCTTTATTGCTTCGAAGTAGGCCAGTACATTACACTTTTTGGCCCACTGGCTTTAGTACAACTCGTTACATTACGCTTAATATCTACTTGAAGTTTGCGTAGTGGTCGAATGACTTCAGATAGGCCAGTGCCACTTGGTGCAGGTAGTGATATTGTTCCTGTGGAAGAGGAGGGCAAGAAGGTCAGGTCGGCAGTTGGCAGCGAGGAAAGGGGTAAGGACAGTGCTGCACTTACGTAACTGGTAATGAACTGCGGTCGATTAGCTCTGATCTTCTGGACGGCAAGAAAGACGTCAATTTGCTGTTCCTCTTTGATGCGCTCGAATATAAAGTCGGCGGCGCAGAACAGTCCCGACAGTTGCACGCCATCGCTGGCAGCGGGGGAAAAAAGAGGTTAGTGGGGTTCAGAAGCAGCAGAAACAGCAGTAACCGAATGGACCGCCGCCGACTCACGTGCACTGTACGACGAGTGGCGCCGAACTGCCGGCCATGTTGCCCGCGTCCAGCTTCTCCTTGAGCTCAATTAGTGAGTAGCTGGAAGCGGTGGGAGAGTACTTGCCGAGGAGGCTCTGAAATCCGCGTAATTGCACCTGCTTAACGATCGTCTCGGCGGGCTTCAGAACGAAGGTGCGCACGATGATGTGCTGCGAGAGGTCCTCCTTCTGCAGACTGACGCTCAGCTCATCGTCCACCACCAGTCGCTGGTTCACCGAGCTGGGCCAGTACTGTGTGAATGTGTTTTATTGGTCAAGTAGTAAATATGTGTGTGTGTGAATGTGTGTGAATGTGCCTGTTGCCAGGGGATGAGGGTGACACTTACCACTTGTTCGTCGCCGCTCGCTTCATTGAGCAAGACGATCAGATTAGCCTGAGTGCTTGCGATCATCTTCCAGAACTGCTGGCGATTGTTTTCGAATGGGATCTGCGTCACGATGTATGCGTCCTGTTTGCGATAGCCCTGTGAAAGGTGATAGGGGAAAGATGATATTAGTATGGCACCGTGCCCACTAGCACTGATGGCCACTGGACACGTACGTTCACATAGACGGCGTTCACGTAGTCGTTCAGATTGGGTAGAATGACTCGAGCGTAGTCGGCTGTCAAGGAGAGAAGGGGAAGGGGAAGGAAGTTAATGGAGTTGTGGGACACTGTGCTGCGCCTTACGGGGAACCACATCGGCGCGTCGATTGAACTGGTAGTTGACCATGCCGAACTTGCACACTTCAGAGGGCAGCTTGCACAATGACATTGTGTTGAGAATCTAAGGGTGGCAGATGAATCGTTTTAGCTCTGATTGTTTTTGTTTGCACTTGTTCATTGTTCATTGTCTTCCTGTGCCCGTCAATATNGAGAATCTAAGGGTGGCAGATGAATCGTTTTAGCTCTGATTGTTTTTGTTTGCACTTGTTCATTGTCTTCCTGTGCCCGTCAATATCACACACACACACACACCGCACAAGTGTCACCTCACTTACCTCGTACTGTTTGTACAGCAAACAAGTTTTGTCGCTGCCCTTTGTCTGGCGGTCGAGGTAGGTGGCAAAGTCGATGCAGCTGATGTCAGTGGGGTCATGGGAGAGCGCCTCGAGGAGCACCTGGTAGACGAAGCGGTACTGCGCGAACTTCTCCACCATGTTGATGCGCTGCTGGCGCACCTTGCAGAAGTGCCCGAAGACGTCGATCTTCTTCTCCTTCTCCGCCATTCGCAGCATCGAGTCGATGACGATGAAGGCGCCGGTGCGGCCGATGCCGGCGGAGCAGTGCACCACCATCGGACTGTTGTCCTCCTGGTACAGACTCGACGAGCGAATGCAGTTGATGAAGCTGATCAGCGTGCACGCGTACATCGGCACCATGTGATCGGGCCAGGAGAGAAAGTGGTACTGCACTACCACCAGACTGTCGTGGTCCTGAAGCACAGTTCAGGGGAATAAACTTATTAAACTATTCATCTAAATGTCCTTTTCCACTTACCCGTTCCAGTAGAAAGTGCCGAATGGTGTAGTCGGCAAACAGCTCAGTCTTGGTCATGCTCACTTTGATCTTTCCATAGAACTGACTCATTTCCGGCCAGTATTTTTCGCATTTGCTCTGAGGTAAATGGGTTTATTAGTTTTATTGTCAGATATCAGCCGAAAAAAGCAAACCTTGCCACTCTCTTCGAGGTTGGTCAGAATGACAATTTGATGGCACTTGAACTGCCAAACGCATCGCCAAAAATCTTCAATGGTGGCATCAATTGGCCCCTGCATGGCAATATACCGTCCTGCCTTCTTGTAGCCATCAATGAAGTTGGCATTGATGTAGTCAGTGTCACCGGGCGATTCCTTCTTCAGTATGACTCGTGTGTTATCGTAAGGCAGCAGATTGCCATAACGATTCTTCGTCTTATGCTCAGGCAGCTTTGCCTGATTCCAACTGAACATTTGCGATCGAGGAACGTAGTTGTACTCTGCCTTCAGCGCATCACCTTCCAACAGTTTTGGCACTGTGGTCAACAGTTCACTAACTTGAATCACATTGGATTTGGGCTCAAATGAGGTGCTTCCGTCTTCTTCCACAAAGTACCGAGCTGTAGTGATAACGTGATTAACTCGCTAGTTTCAGATTTTCTCTTTCTCACCTTTAATCAGCTTACGATTGTCCTCTTTGCGCCAGAAAATGAGATAACTCTGCAGTTGACCGCTGCCAAAGTAGTTTCTGTGTGGTTAGTGAAAATTTTGTAGAATAAGCAGTGATATTATGTTCCATAGTTAACTGTTACGCACATGTAAATTAGAATGGCCAAGAGAATGCAAGTTATTAGCAGAAGAATGCCCAGAAAGGCGATGAGCACAAGTTCAGTTGTGGAGCTTTGATTTGATGGAACTGTTGGCGGGATAAGGTGGCCATTTAGTAGGTCATTAGAATAACAAGAAAAAGTGCTACACACAAGTGCGGAGTTCGTCTTGCATGGCAATGTCTACCACGCCGGCATGATCAAAGAAAACGATGGCAAACTTGAACTTGGACTGAATGTTAAAGTTGTGTAATTCATCAGGGCCAAACCACCGGCGATGGCGGTTGATGCGAAACATGTTCAGCTTTCGCTGGTCGAGCTTGTCGATCTCCTTGTTGCCGACCTCGTTGACGATGGACTCGTCGAAGGCGACGAGGAACATCTCGATTGTGGGCAGCTTCAGACATTTGTCGGCGGTGATCACCAGTAGGAAGGTGTTGTTGATCGATGACTGAATGTTGAATAGGTTCTCCGGCGTGTCTGCAAGTAGAGGAAAATAATGACAATCGTTGATCAGTGCCACTGACCACTCAACTGCGTACCGTAACATTTTTCAAATCCAAGAGAAGCACTTTCTAATGAGAACACCTGACAGGGAACTATGGGAAGGAGGAGGAAGATAATGGTGGTCACTAAAAGGTAACCAGGAATGGGGGAGAGTGGAGCAGGTGAAGGAGAGCCGGTGATGAGCCATGGACCGAGTAGCCTTCGAGGGCGCTGCTGTTTGGTCGATGACGCAGCTGAGGAGGACAATGCAAATTGACCCATTTGCGACGAGGACGACGAGTCACAGTGGCAAGTCCTCGACGGTGGTGGGCACATCAGCAGAGAGGGAGAGACAGCCTAAAACGTCGAGCCAAACCATCAGCACTAGGCAGCCGCCTAGTTGGTCAGCTATCAGCGGAAGCACATCCTCTCTGTGGTAGAGCACATTCAGGGCACCTTTTCCTCAACTAAACAGGAATTGAAATGCTATGATTTCAAATGACGTTCACGCGCTCAATCACTCCTTTTCACTATCATTTAAACAGTTATACGTCATTGTGTCTTCACGTGAATGTTAGTATCCAACAGCTAAATCAGGTGTTCAGCAGGAACAGTTTATTTGTGTTTGTACAGTTTTACAAAATGAAGTGAATATTGAAAGGAAGGTTTATCAAATTGTCTGTTCAAAATCTTTTTCTTAAAAATGTGTCTCGTTCGATGGTATACTCGAGCGCTACCTTGCGTTTAGGTTGCGACTTTTAGTACTGTTGCTGCTGCTGCTGCTGTTGTTGATGTTGCTTCTGTTCATCAGCTGTTTGCGTTAGCGAGTGCAAATGAAGTGCGCTTGCTTGGTTGATCTCAAATCATGTCATCGGCGATTCCTAAATGCATATCTGCCGCTGCCAACAGCAAATCTTCCATTCGACTAGTGGTCTGGGCCAAACCGGGAGCAAAAAAGTCCAACGTAGTGAGCATCGACGATGAAGCCATCAGTGTACAGATTGCTGCACCAGCCAGGTATGTCTCCTAACGGTGCACCAGCACCGGTACCATCATTACCACCACTTTATATGCTAATGGGCGCTTGCTTTTATACCACCAATTGCACCAAAACAGAGAAGGAGCCGCCAACGAAGAATTAATTGATTTTATGAGTCACGTTTTAGGTGTCAGATCTCGATGCATCAGCCTGGACGTTGGAACCAAGTCTCGCAATAAGATGCTCATTGTGAACACTGACAAGACGGCCGAGGACGTGTTTGCTTTGTTGCGCGACAGCATTAGTACTAAATAAAAAGTGTAAATGTGTGGTTGTGGTTGTTTGAGCGTGTACAGCGGTTCAGTGTTGAACACCCCTAGTTGTCCTTTTGGGGGTGGAAGAGTTGAGTTGAGACGGGAGAATGAAAGTGTGAGTGCTGCTGGCTAGCAATTACAACAGCTGACTGCCGTCACCGGGCAGATGTGCTCTCGGGGAGAGGGAGCTACTGGAAAAGTTGATGAAGAAGGTTGCAGCGCAAACGGCATGGCTCGACAAGACAGGAAAAGCGTCGTCCTTTGGACACGCAAACAGCTGTGAACAATGTGGTCACGTTTTTGCTTTTGCTTTCTGCCACTGCTGCATCGGCATCGACGGAGCATTGATGAGCCCATTGCCATTGCCAGCAAGCGGCTACAGGTGTCAGGTCCCTTCCAGTGCAGTGCAGTGCAGACGCTGCCACTGAACGCCCTACGACCGCCACTGAACGGTGCTATTTAAATAGGCGCCATCACTGAGGAACACCTTTCTTCGATCGACTGACGAGCACCTGACAGAAAGCACACACACACTCACTCACACCACTCAGGTAGAGGAAAATCGTACTGCCACTGCTACTACTGCTCCTTAGCTCTGCGCTCGATGGCGCCTGCTAGGGACCTGGTAGAAGTCAGCACCTGGAATCTGTCAGAATCATGTCGCCAGAAGAGTCGCTCTCACCTGGCGCTCTTTGAGGCGGTGGACCGAACAGACCGCGGACTGCAGCGACACCGCCAGACAGAGCACCACAACGCCTTTGGCTACCTCGGAGAGTCCATCTTCAGCACGTCTCCGGCCGTCTCAAGTTCATGCCACCAGCTGCCCGTTCGCAGCAGCCCTGAGTCACTCTTCTGGCGTCTCTCGCCGGAGACGACGGCGAGGCTGGCAAACACGAAGGCAGGTCGCAATGAGTCAAGTGCCATCTTTGCGGTAATGGGCCAAGGTGAGAAGCCACCTCACTCTCCGCATGACTGCAGCAGCGGACAGCAATCGGCAGTGTCATCGCCGCTCAGCGAGGAGAAAGTCCTCCACTCGCCCCAGCGCCAGCAAAGCCCTTCAATTGCTGCCGACAACTCTTTATCACCGCTTCATTTCCCCGTCGTCTCTCGGGCAGGCACTGCCTTTGACGACTACCACCACAATCTTCGCAATTATCAGCCCAGCCAGCATCATCATCACTATCCGCAAACATCGACGCCGCTTGGTCATCACCACCGGTACCACCTGTCTAAGTCAGTCTTCTCTGTGCCATTTTCCGCCATGTCCGCGAAAGTAAGTATATCTATTTGCATTCATTTGATATTAGATGCTTCAACTCTATTTATTCCAAAACGGAGCTAAGCAGTCAGTGCCTGTTTGCGTGTCTCTTTCTCACAAAGTGTGCCAATTGCTATCACCCCAATGTGACACCTCTGGAGTACCTCTCCCTCTCTCTGTGGCTGTCAAGACAGTCTCGCCTTCAACATCCGCTATCCTCAGCGCTGTGCTCCAAGTGGCTCTACTTTGAATTCTCGCCCTCTCTGCCTTCTTGGCTAGTCAGCTCATATCAGCCACTAGCGATATGAGCTTTCTACTCCACGGGAATGTCTCATTGTCGTCACACACACACATATACTCTTCTTTAGCCAGTCAGTCACTATGACTTTTACGATCCTGACATTTGCATATCGAGCTATTATTATCACCACTCTAAGACTGGTCTATTAAGGTAGCGGCGGCGGCAGTAGCAGTGGCTCACAGTCAGTCTGTCGCAAGTCAGAGGGCCATTTTCAAAGTTCTCCCCAATTGAAGGCACAGAGCGGATAGTCGCCATGTGAATGCCAGATGCGTGTCCGATCTCCATCTTCAAAGACCACTTGATGATGAGCATCTACTGAAGCTGAAAAGCTGTCTGCCACGCCGACACAGATGCTTGCCGATTGTAGCCAATTTAGACTACTTGACGACAGATCGGCAGACAAATCAGTGCCATCCTCTTTCCCCTCCCTGCTAACCAGATTGTGTTTGCCACTACTGACCAGAAGGCAGTGTTTTCTCCACTGTCAAGTCTCAACTCTGCTAAACACCCAAGGCCACTGACCGACACAGCAGCAGCAGCAGTTGTACTGCCAAGTCATCAGCAGCCAATTACCAGATGAGCTTGTGCTCACTGGAGTGTTTACGCAACCAGGCCATCTTCCTTTTCTTCTTCTTCTTACATAAACAGACACATAGTGCAGTCACTAATACCGATATCAAGTTGATGATCAACAACTGACGGACTGTTTGGTGTGTGTATTTGCATGTGAAGTGCATAAGAAGTGATAACCGTCTGCCGCAGTGTCTATATAGACAGTGGCCCATTCTCAATCCCGGGACGTGCCGGCAGAGTGTGGAAGAAGAAGGCCGGTGCTGTCATAGAGACCGAAAGCGCGCCATTTGAGAGAGAGTGAGAGAGAGAGAGTGGTAGAGCAAACGGCCACTTGGACAGCGTTCACAGCACTGCAGTAGTCCTACTGCAGGAGCAGCAGCAGCACTCTGACACCTTCCCACCGTTTGCCAGTGCAGCAGCAGCAGCATAAAACTGCAGTGCGATTCCGTCGCCAGACTGTCTCTCTCTTTCCCTCTTTCCTCTGCCCGAATCGCGCCAGAAAATCGACTCCGCTGCCAGGGGAGTGTCGCCCGTGCTTCAATTGTCCTCGTTGACTGTGCTTGTACTGCTGCTGTGTTCACAGAGGCGCGTCGAAGAAGTGCTGCCCCAAACCAGCTCCCTCTCTCTCCCACTCCATCTGTGGCTATTGTTGTCGCTGACCCGTAGTACAACCGTGCGTTGCCTGCCAATCTGTCGGTCTGTCTGTCTGTCTGCCTGCTTGCCTCTCTCTCTCTCTCTCACTCTCTTCAGCAAGCATCATTTCAAAGTTTAACTGTCATCGCCGCGCACAACACACACACACACCACAACACAACCGAACACAGACTTACCTAACAGACTTGCACAGCTCAGCATCACTGTCACCAACGGTTGTCAATACAGTGCAGTGATAAACGGAATCGACAAACGGACCTCGTGAAGCACTCGCCGATCAACAGCTCACCTCATCTCAGCATCATGGCTGCCAACGCTCCTTCTTCAGCTAAAAAGATCCCTATTCACCTGCAGGTACACAGCTGCTGCCCACACAAGCGGCACAGGAGGCATCAACTCTTTTTGTCTTTGCACACAAACACTGACACAGAAACGCACACGCAAAGTCGCATGCTCTCGTTAGACTCGTTGCCATTTGCCTGCTGACGCTGCGATCTGCTCTACGAGTGCACCTTTCAATCAGTCTTTTAAACCCTGTTTGTTTTTGTTTTTCTTACTTCTCTTGCGTCCTTTAAAAATGCAGAGTTCACAGAATCGCATTCTCATCAAGGGAGGCAAATGCGTCAACGACGATGCCATCTTCGACGCCGACATCTACATCGAAGAGGGCATCATCCGGTGAGTTACTGTTCTTTTTTCCTGTACCAGATTATACTGAACCCACTTTCTCCACCTCTAACAGCGACATCGGCCCGCACCTCATTGTGCCGGGTGGTGTGCGAACCATTGACGCCCGTGGCCTGTACATCCTGCCAGGTGGCATCGACACTCACACCCACCTAAATATGCCTTTTATGGGCACAACAACTTGCGACGACTTCTACAGTGGCACGAAGGCGGCTCTCGCCGGTGGAACGACCGTAAGTTGAAAGAGCATCGGCCTGCAAAAGGTGGAATCTAATTACCATTTTATATTTTGCTCTTTGCAGACCGTCATGGACTTTGTCATTCCGCCGAAAGGCGTCGGTCTGGTGGCCGCCTTCAAGAAGTGGAACGAGTGGGCCAAGGAGAATGCCTGCTGCGACTACGCCTTTCGCGTGGCCATCAGCGAGTTCAAGAAGGGCAAAACTGAGGCGGAGATGGAGGCGCTGGTGAAGGAGTACGGAGTGAACGCCTTCAAGTGCTTCATGGCCTACAAGGGCGATCTGATGCTCAGTGACGAAGAGCTGATTGCCGTCTTTGCCAAGTGCCGCGAGTTGGGCGCACTGGCGCTGGTGCACGCCGAGAACGGCGAAATAATCGACTACAATGTGAAGAAGCTGAAGAGCCAGGGCGTCACCGGGCCGGAGGGTCATCTGCAGAGCAGACCGGAGGAGGTGGAGGCGGAGGCGACCAATCGAGCCATTGTCCTGGCGAACCAAGTCAACTGCCCACTGTACGTGGTGCA